TTCTAAATTCTAATGGGAACGATTTCTGATAAAATTAGTCAGACTCTAGCTTAGAGCCAGTATTGCTGAATCTTTACAACAGAACTACCGTAGCACATCATCACTGTGCCTGGTAATGAGAACGAACGTCTCTCATTTACTTGTTTTAACCTGAAGCTGTGCATCGTACATCACCGCTCTGAAACAAAGCAACAGACCTAATTGCACGTTACAAGACAGGAAGGCACCAAAATAAATCATCCTAATACAAGCTGCAGCCAAAATGATTCTTTTCAGGAATATTGTCAAATGTGTTAAAGAAATTTCAACTGTACCAAAGCCCATATCACTCAAAAATGACATACAATGGCTCTAGTTTCAAAGCGTTACTGAATTTGTCCGTATTTTTTTACTTTTCTTTTTTGCTTTGATTGTGACCACATCAACTCTGGTAAAACAAGTCATTTAAATTAAAAAAAAAACTTTCACCTAAGCATCATACAGTAAGTGATACTGAAGTGGGCTAATATAATATAATATACAGTAATATACAGTAATATATTGCATATACTCATGTTTCATTCAAAATGAACTTTTTTCTGTATTTTGAAAAGCAAGAGGAAGTTTCTAATAAGTCTGAGAGTATAAAATGTGCATGTGAATTTACAGAATCATGCAGACAGCATGCCATTTAGATTGAAATATTTGCATATACAATTCATACATTTACTGTACAACCTAGCTAAAACAACAAAAATCACATACAGAGAAGTAAGCAGCTAAGTAATGCAATTTCAATTAGCAATATTAAAACAAATGTAAGAAGTTACTTTCAGGATAAAAGGTAGCCTTGCCTCTAAAAATAGTTTGATCTTTTTTTCTTTCTCATCTTTTTTATTTCTTGGAACACACAAAGGACAGTAACCTCAAAACAATAAAAACCTTTTTTTAAAATCCAGCTGCTTAAGCTATTACTAGCCATGCTGACAGCAAGTGTTACTCACCCCCAGCTTCCTGCTACGAAATTTCACATATCCTTGTTTCACTATGTCATTAAAGTTGGAAGCCATAGTCACTCAATGCTATCCTCCCCGGCTTAAATTAGTCCCCTTTTGTAGCTGTGTGTGAGTCTTTCTTAAACTGCTCCGGCATTCAGACTTCAGAAGCCTGCTCCAGTGTAAGTGCACCAAAGGCTCATTCCATCTGCACAGAGGGAGATAGAGTCCGTCAGCTGATTTAATTCACTAGAAGCTCTGCTTCCTGGATTACACCACCCTTTATCCATCACAGGGGTGCAACCCAGACACTTTTTTCTACATTCATCTGGAATGCAATCCAAGAAAATGGGGTCCTGCAATTGATCATTTCACTGGAGAAGACACTGCAAGGCACATCCTCATTTCTTTATAGCACTTCATTCTTCTACACATAAAAACAGCATTTGTACAGGGAATTTAACTGAGAAGCAGTTTAAAAACACATGGGATCTAATAAGCCAATTATTATTATTCTAGTCAGGTTCAAGCTTATTGTTCCAACAAGTTCAGTAAAACTTTACAAACTTTATATGTCTGTGTGTCTGTTTGTCTCATGGAGAGCAAGTTGGGATATGCGAAAAGACAAATTCCTAATACAAGAAATTGTATATGGCCAATAAAGTGATCTTACTTGCTTTGTGTAAAATGGATTTGCTGCACTTCCTCTATAGGTGATCAACTTATGATGAATAGACACAGGAGAGAATAGCAATGAATCGTTTACTCGCACAATGATATTTGTTTCCTACTCCAGATTAACAGGTGGTTACATTTCAGGCAATATTCTTAATAAAGATGCTTATGATACTCAGAAACTGTTAAAAGGTTTAACCTATTTACAAACCCTATTCAACCTTTCAGGAGAAATACTGAGTTATTTATCTAATAGAGTGTAGTTTAAGCTGACCTGGACAATGATACTGTAAGTATGAGATTCACTGATACATTTTGGCTCTGTTTAAGTGAAATAAGAAATGATTTGTCCTGCACAAAGACAAAAACTCTGAAATTGTAGGTATATTCTTCTCCTCATTTTGTGAATTATACGTTGTGATGGGTGCAGGACTTCATCCCAGTCACTTCCACCTTCCAATCATATACAGTGCATTTCCCTAGACACCAGATAAATCCAGCTCACCAAAGGAGTGTGTCTACAGCTGTGAAAAAGTTTTACACAGTCTAAAATTTAGGGTTGGTGCCGTTTTCTCCTGTAATTCGCTCGAGTCCTGTTAAGGTAACAGTAGCTGATTGTTAATTAATTAGTACATACAGTACTTTTACATATCAAGTTTCAAGGACTCCAATGCATTAGATAATGGGATCACCAAAACGGCTAACAGTTGTTGATCTACTAACTTTACAAAATTGAAAAAATGCATTAGACCATGGTGCCACATTCGCATATCACAGCCATCTCACTGCTCTACATCGGTAAAAGAAAAGCCTGACACCACAAAGCAGTATTGTACAATGACTACCGGATGTCCTTCAATATCTGGTACCCTAAATAGTCAATTAAGTAGACGATGGCTACCTTATTGTATACCATAGACATTAAGTCACAACCTGTAGTTGTGAAAAATGCTAGCTACTGTACCTACAGTAAATTTGTGAGGAACGGTATGTGTCCTTAAGCAGGTTAAGCCAAACTTTACACTTAAATAGTCAATATAATTCACAGAGCATCTATTTCTTGGATGTTGTTGTTCCTCATGAAATGTGTTTTGGTTTTTATATAAAGAGAAATGTGGGTGAAGAGAAAATTTCCAGGTAACCCCACACCTTGTTTTTGACATGATTCCTGCTTAGAATATTTGTTTTTTTAGGAACTGATGAACATCTAGAAATTATTTATTCTGAAATGTTTGTCTCAAATATTCACAAATTAACCCAAATCATAGATGAATCACGAATATCGTTTTTTTGTGTAGCTTGTCTATAAACACTATTGATTTCACCCTTATTGTGTGGGAAATGAAGCTTGTGTGGGCTGGAGACATGGTTTCAATCCTGAGCTACTGTACTTCAGGGAAAACTATTAATGCCCTCACCATTTTGTTTCCAATAGAGTTTTGTCATCCAGTCTCTCCACCAATTAGTGACTAGTCAAAAATGTACAGGCAGACACAAAAACTAGATACAAAAACAACAACAATTTTGTCTTTACCTGCATGCATGCAACATCTTTTCATTAGTGGATTAATTAATAATTTGCTGCCCTTAACCTGTGTTTTTGTGTCTCTGTCTTACTGGTTTGTTTTCCTCATTTATATTTACACGATATTGTATGCTGGCCCAGTCCTTCATTGTACTTTAAAACTGTACTGATTCATACCCACATTAACACAGCCAAGTCTTGCAAAACTCTAAATATATTTGTTTATTTGGGCTAACATTTTTATCCAAAGTGACTTATTACATCTGTATCCAGCGGGATTAACACAGTTTTAAAACACAATTTTACACAACAAAATCATGACAAAATCTGAAGTGCCCAGCACTTAAGAGAAAGCCACATAGTGTTTGATTAGATTTCAATGTTATTGTCTGCACAGGCACTGAGTTACTCTGTATTGTGAGGAAAGCTATCTTCTATTTTCCTGTTCTCACCAGAATGTGTGAAGAAAAATAGCCCACAAGCCAAGAAGCCACTTTATGTGCAGAGGGAACCTCTCAAGCTCAAACTGTGTTGAAAATGTTTTATTAAATTTTTTGGTAAAATCACAAAATGTCTCTGGTATGTTTTGGAGAAAAGAACAAAATACTGAGAGGGTTATATTGTACAATACATTTGGTGACTAGATATGTACTGTATATTCACATTATGGGTGAAATGTAAAGTTTAATTTCAGTAATGAGAAATTACTGGCCATTCTGCAGAGCTTTTGAGGATAGAACACACTATCAATATCTTTTAAAGATATGAATATTTCTTCAGAAAATGATATTTTGATCATTTTTTTAACCAATAAATCAATTAAGAACAATTCCTCTTCTACAATGATGGCAGAAATAGTATAGAACTGTATCTATTTGGATTAATTAGGTTTAATCTCTTTACTTAAATTACTGGCAGCATTTCATCCAGAGGAAGTATGTTGGTTTTTACAGGTGAAAGCAAGATTCCCAGAGTCTCAAAGAATGTGGATAATTTTTAAGGTGTGCAAGATTTTGCTGTTCCAGTGTATTTCATTTAGTAATTGTTTTGACACATTTTCATTAAAAGATTGTGTGGGGATCTTTTACCCCACTTATATTTTGAAGCTTAGCGGGTCACGGGCCACTATTTGTGGCCACTATACCAGCTCCGCCACAAGACTGGTTTCCTGGTGTGTTTTTATAAAAGCTACTGAGAGCTATGAAAGTATAAAAAGCAGATTGTAAAGCCTGATTAGTTTAATTATACTGTATATACTATACAGTATTTAAGACTTTCTACTGCTATATTGCTTTTCTTACTGTGATAACTCTTTCAAAATGTAGCTTTCAAAAAGGTTCTATTCATTTTCATTTTCTCTTTTTTCTTTAAAATGTTTCTCTTGCCTCGCTGAAGAACCGGGATGTGGTGAAAATGTAATTACATGTGGTCTAAAAGAATGTGAAATGGGCCAATTAGTAGTCGCTGTGGCAATAGATTTACTGAGGAAGATCAAATATGTGAAATATGCTACAATTTGATCACTCTTGTAGCTGCTTTACATTAGTATGAATTAAACTATTGAAAAATAAACCTACAGTATATGAATTCTGTAATGAAATCTAAATCTTAACATTTATATTTTTTTAGTTTTATGTTTGTAAACTATGCAAACATTTTTAATTAAAAATAAATAAATAAAAATAGGGTGGAGTGGTGGCTCTGTGCCTGTGGCTGGAAGGTTGCCGGTTCAAATCCCACAGCTGGCAGAGGAATCCTACTCTGTGGGCTCCTGAGCAACGCCCTTAACCCCAGGTGCTCCAGGGGTGCTGTACAATGGCTGATCCCGCACTCTGACCCCAAACTTCTCTCCTTGTCTGTGTCTCATGGAGAGCAAGCTTGGGTATGTGAAAAGACAAATTCCTAATGCAAGAATTTGTATAGGGGTAATAAACTGACGTTGTGTTAAAGAATTTATGCTACTGTAGAAAAACTTTGTGATATACTGAACCTTCCCGCTCATTTTTTGTCTGCTTTTTTTAAGCTTCTGCTGCTCTCTGTCTGCCTATAGCCTCACACAGAGTCTACTCACTTATAAATATATTAAACTTGATGATAAACGGACAACACTGTGACACACTGGCTAGCATTGCTTCCTCACAGCGCTTGAGTTCAAGACGCTATTGTATCTGTGTAGAGTTTGCATGTTGTTCCTGAGTTTGTGTTTCCTCTGGGTGCTCTACTTACCTCCCACAGGTGAGCTCAGAGTTCCACAGTTCAAAGATATGTTTGTACATTAATTGGCTTCTAGGAAAACTGGCCCTGGTGTGTGTTTGTCTGTGTGTGTCCTGTGGTAGACTGGCTTCCTATCCAAAGTGTATCCTGTTTAGCCTCAGCTGCTTGCTGGGATAGACTCTAACTCTGCCGCAACCCGGTAGTGGATAAAGCAGTTAGAAAATGGATTGATGATGGAAAATGTATTTCTACTCCAAAATCCAACGAATGATGTACAGTAGTGAATTCACAGAAAAGCTTGCCACAGGAGCACAAATGGAGCCAACAGAAGTATTCAAATCTGACTTTAGCTCCATTGTACAGTAGCCTTTAGGCAGGAAACCATTAACATTCTGTCCCAAGTGCATCTTAGCAAAACTTTTGGAAAGCAAGCTGACCTGGATCAGAAAGAAACCTAATAATGTATTTAATTATAAAGCTATCTCATGGTCTACGTAAATTATTAAATAATGGTTTTGCCAGTTACTCATTTTCTTAGTTTTATTTGTGTTCAGTGTATGCTATTATCTCGAAAAAAACACTTGCCTTCTGTAACTAAATACACAATTTCTGTATGTAAACTGAGACATGTATAATAAACAGGGATTTTTATTCAATCCTAGCACATGCAAGTCTACTGTATAGCACATTGAATGAAAGTGTTCATTAGGTATGAAAATATTAATTAATGCAATTTTACACAATTTTCTGTTAGTGAAAATGTTCTCCATTTTCTGTAATT